TGAGGGTTTTTAGGGGGCGGAAGTCGATACAAGTACAATTAAGGACAGCACATTGTGTGCCATCTGTGTAGTGGTTAGTGTGGTGGTCTTGCAGGTAGTCCAGGTTGGAGTCTCCTGCTGTGGTTTTCGTTTTGCTGGCCTACAAAAAATTTGCATGAGCATGGGCAGCGTCCATACACCACCCCTTGTTTCTTTTATCAGAATCTCGAAGCAACAACTGCTCTCTCTGAAGGTCTTTGCATGTGATTTGAAGTGGAGGTAGAAATGTCAAAAGAATCGATTTGTCATGTAACACCTTGGTGAACGTAAGAGGTCACAATGTTGTCAACATATTCGGCAAGGTCAGCTTCCTGGTACCCCAGCGGCTACCTTGATGCACATCCGGGAGAAACGCCTGCACACAGTACTGATTCCCTTCCAATTTGATAGGAGAATATGACAATTCGGATTGTTCAGAAGTAGTCTTCATTCGTTGCTCGCATTGTGAAAAATGCCTGTTTTGCATATTTTGTGCTCTGCTTTCATCAGTGCACATAGGCGTTTGAAAACATAGAGTAATAAAACTTTTTTGAAGAGATTTGCAGTTAAAAGAAGGAAGAGGCGATGTACAGACGATATGCGTGCTCATACAAATTTTCTATAAACCAGCAAAAAGAAAACCACAGCAGGAGATTCGAACCTGGAGCCTCTGCCTGCAAGACCATCACACTAACCACTACCAGACGGCACACAACGGTGTTCTGTCCTTGATTGTACTTGCATCGACTTCCGCCCCCTAAAAACCCTCATAACTCCTTGCCCAAAAACATCAGCGTTCGAAGCTCCACAAGATGATACCTACCTCATTCTGAAAGGCCACTTCGACCCACCTTCCTTCCCTTGTAAGTGGTTTGAGTATGGGTTTGAAAAACGCCATGAACTTTCGAACCGACCCAGTATATTCGGCAACAGTGTTGTGCTACCGTCCATGACATCCTTCGAAGGACAGTAAACCTAGAAAAATCCTCATGGCTCAAACTTTGCAAAAAATCGATAAACTCTATAAAAGTACCGGATAATCCTAAAAGCTAATATTGTAATCGTAATCAGCATGCTCGATTACCCATCTGTGCCAACTCTTAGCCCCGTAGGTCAAACTTTGCAAAAAATCAATAAAATCAATAAAAGTAATCGATAATTCTGAAAACTAATATTGTATTCGGAATCGCCATGCCCACTTATCCTCCTGTGCCAACTCCCAGCCCCGTAGGTGAACTCTGCAAGTAATCGATAAAAACCGATAAAATCGATGTCGATCGATGGAGAAAGGTAGCCTATGACATCCGCCCAGCCCCGAAGTGTATGTGTGCCATGTTTGGTCCGGATCGGTTGAGAAATGGAATTTTGTATTCGGAACATACCTACAGACATTACTATACTGACAGACATAGCAACTACGCATCCGCAGCGCGTGGGCGTTTCTCCGACCAATATCGCGAATGACGACTCAAGCAGTACGCCCGCGAACGCAGCGCGGGCTCTTGCGTTGCGCTGGAGCTGATCAGAAAGGGAGCACATCATTGATGCTAACTAAACCTGTTGCCTTAAAGGCAGTGTCTCACCAAAGTTGAGGTCGCGGGGATCTTTACATATTCTATTATAGGGACCTCTAGATAGGCCATTGCAACAAGTCCCACTCAATTTGACCCCCTCTACGCTGAGAAAAATTCGCTCAAAGTGGTACGCGGAGAGCCAGTTGGTACGCGCGGACGACTCCTTCGGTCTCCCCCTTACGCGTTTGAACATGTCCCTCCACTTGGCATCCACCTCCCCTCTGTTGCTGCCACTGTGGCTGAGGCTGAAGTTGGAAGGTAAAACTCGTCCACGTTGCTTCCGCGGGGCCTCCAGAAAACGGGGTTTTTGGGAACTTCGTGCGATTTTAAGCCCATACAGTGCAAGACAGGGTCCGACAGGCTTGCAAAATGCAAAAATTTCGGCAACTAAATTTCGGTGAGACACTGCCTTTAAAAAAATACAAGGTTTAGCGAACAGAATTTGCCCAGTGAAAGTCCTAGATTAATCTGTGAGACCAAACTTTCAAGGAGGGCGATGCAGTCTCTACGAAATTTTCATTTGCTGCGGAGACAATTCTTGCTGTCATAGAATGGCTGGGGTAAAGATTGTGCTTATGACAAGACTATCGCATCCATATAAAAGATTCTTCTTCTTTTCAGGAACTGAAAACAACTTTCAGCTCGGCTTCCACTGGTGAAATCTTTGCTAATGACACGAGCAGTAGTGACTGACTCGGTCGAAAAATTTTAGCACTCATTTAATAATATCCTCTGGACGACTCTATCTGCCCTCAGTCAGTCTTTCACACATTTTTCAGAGGAGGGTTTGGAAGTTCATATTACATTCTGTGTCAGTCACGTGCTTCCTTTTTCAATCTCCACGCCAGAGCTTCGGCCACGTTCGCGCATATAGACTTGGCATTCAAATTTGTTTCAAGTTCGCAGGCGCACGCAAGACCCTCGCGTTGCGCATGCGTACTTGCTACGCGAAAGGAAGTATGTAAGTGACACAGAATATGTGCTTTTGATCATCATTTTTTGCGAACTTATTTGCAGGAAGCGGAAGTTGAAGGTGAGATAGAGGTGCTGACTGAAAAAGTGAAGCTGGTTCTCGCTGTTTGTAACTTCGCTTTCACCGTTACTATCCCAGATAAGATTATTTGCAGCGTTTGATTCAAGGAAGTTCAAATTCGATCATCTTTTGCTACCCCTCGCTCGTCATATTTCCTTTGCGTCTTTATTTGCATGCTTTGGTAACTACCAGTCATTGTGAAAGTATCAAGGTCATACCGTTCAAATGCGAGCGACAAGAGCAATCGACGAGGCTCCGAAGTGAACAGTGATCTTTATATGAATGTTGCAATTAGGCGGTTTAGTCGTAGATTCTAATTCACAGATCATTTATTTGAAGATTATTTTGTCAATTTATCCTCTTCCGGCTCGTCTGAAAGTGGTAACAGTAAGTAGTAGGTTACTGTAGGAGTCTTATAACACTTTTTCGTTTTTCTCTGGAAAGCTCTAGAACTTGGGCGGAGTTTACTTGGAAAGTGCTAGAAATAGGCAAAAGGCTTTTTGATATCATTCTCTTCAAAACCATGAATAACAACAATACAAGGGCAATTTCGTTACGACACTTCATTACCATTCCCTTTGCCTTTTGAATATTCACTTCGTTTCTTCTTTTTCATTTTTTATTTTAGGTTTCTCGGAGATTCAGTGCTAACATAAACACAGTAGTTTGGAGAGGCTAATCTGTTTAATTACGCAGGTTTAATAGTTTCAGAAATAATTTTCAAACTTGAAGAAAAACCAAAAATTGATTTTTTTTCATTTTGAAAGGTACACAACAAAACTACAACCTTCCAAATTGATTGGAAATGGAAAAATTTTCAAGAAAACTATCTTTTTGATAACCAAGCATAAAGTTCCGGTCAAATTTTGTCGGAATACAAGCTAAGAGGAACTTGAGGTTATCAAGTACAATGAATGCTCCATGCACTTCTTGTCACGACAATGATCGCAATATTCATTATTTAGAGTTTACTTTTATAGTCGTTTTTCGTGTAATGCGAAATCCTTGCTAAGACATCAATTATAAATATGGAAGTTGCTCAAACAAACGATCTGAGGTCTTGCTAGTTCGGATATACGGTTGAAATCTATCTGGAATTTTTTGTCTTTGCCTCTAGAGTACCTAGCAATCTTTATAGTACGGTTTTTGTCATCACTTACTCTACCGAACAAAAATCGCTGAGGCGTGTCCTTCAAATGAAAGGTTCGCGGAGATTACAAGTCACATACTACAAGGTCGGTGTACATACTGCGCTCACAAATGAAACTCTCTTGCATTCTTTGATCTCAATCTCAAACAAACTTCTGGCGCAGTTTAGCGTGCACGTCAAGTATCCTTTTTAACTAAGTCCTTTTGGGATGAAACATCGTCAATATCCGAAAAAAGATTTTCAAAAGTGAAAGTTTCTACATCTGAAAGATCTGACTTATCCTACGTGCGAATTAGAATATCGAAATTTCCAAAACTGGGACTGCTCTGCATTTCATACTTACTTTGTCCATACATAGAGTAGGTCAGTCGGATAGGCTGATGAGGGGTAGGGGGGGGGACTGGCAATTTTTTGAAAATTTGGATGAAGTGTAAATTGCGCGAGTGACTTGCTTTCAGTTGTAAACAATTAAAATGAATTGTAAAGATTTTTCGAATTTCAAATTTGCCTTGCAAAAATTTTTTTCGGGCAAGTCGCTACCGCACACACTTTTTTTCAAAAATTTTGAAGCTATAGACCCGCTAAAATTTCAAAGTCTCAAAAATCCTTTCAGAAAGCTGACTAACGTCACCCCTCTCCATTCCAAAAGTTTGTCCCCCCCCCCCCCTGAAAGGAAACTTTTCCGACCGCCATTGATATAGGTTTATCTGTGCGGAGTGCTTCTTCTCAACCCTCCCTTTGGCTACCCATTGTTTCTCGCCGAATTAAATTCGATAACCTTCATGGTAGATCAAATCAAATTGGTCATAGGTCATCTAATTCGTAGTGGCGCCAACTCCTCCTCCCTCCCCCCCCCCCTCCTCTCCCCACTCGATCCTTTCGCATTCCTTGCGCTCAGCGGCTGAACTAATAAATGTCATTCATTTCGTCAATGTTTCGCTATGCTATCGTAGCTCCAAATCTCCAAGATCCTTGGACAGTATTCTCAAATTTGTGCCTGTTATCAGCCAGTCCCTCCCCCCCTAGTCTTTGCTCTGACTTGATCGCACGCTTGCAAGAACTACTCTGTTCGAAAACCCTCATTAGTTTGTCCATCGAGCATCGGATGAGGTTGCTAAGCTACCCGTATAGATCTAATCGTAACTATTGTTATCTTCATGTATTGCTCGTTTGCGAAATCCTTTGCAGAGGCAATGTTTTGGATATTTTGTCCCTTAATTTTCCTTTTATAGAAAGATATCTTTTTAGAAAATGGTTCACTACAAGCTTACTTACTTCCCAGTACGTGGAGTAGCTGAAACGGCTAGACAGGTAGGAGTTCTATAGCGCCATTGTTTGAACTGATAATTATTTTTGTATCACAGATTTTCGCCTATGCTGGACAAGACTTTGAGGACCATCGAGTTAGCCACGAGGAGTTTGCACCAATAAAACCCAGTCAGTGTCCAAATTTTGGTTAAAGATACTAAAATCGATTTATTGATTGTTTCTAGAGACACCATTTGGACAGCTTCCGGTGCTCGACGTCGACGGCACACAAATAGCTCAATCGCTGGCGATTTGTCGCTACCTGGCTAGAAAATTCGGTTTGTTAAGGGTTTTGTTTCATTTTCAGCACAAAATAAAGAGAAGAGTAATGTGAAGTATCAGAAAAGAGGAGGAAAGAGGGAGCGGGGAGAATTGACATCGGAACAAAGAACTGTCTGCTCAGTATTAGCCAAAATTGGAACACTTCCTTGGTGGACCGAAGGCGGAGGTGGGGGGGGGGGGGGGGAGGAGGAGGGGGAGGGAGATGGAAGAAAGGAGTGATTCAGTTCGAATTTCAAGAGCGCTAGCTGTGTCCTATGGCAACTCAAAGGCACAGTGAGCGACAATGAGCGAGTACAAGCGACAATGAGCGATTTCAAACGGCATTAAGTGACATGAGCGACATTGAGCGACGCTTTTTTGTTGCAGGACTAGCTGGCAAATCTCCAGAAGATGAAGCCATAGTTGATTCGTTAGCCGACCAATACACTGACTATCGCGCTGAAATCAAACCCTGGTTCTATCCTGCTATGGGAATCAAGGAAGGTAACGTGGTAAGTAACAGAGACTTATCACTTCCTATCATTTATTGTCACTCCATCTGGCTATAATTCTGATTTCCCTTTCGTTTCAGGAACAACTTAAGAAAGACGTCCTTATGCCGGCACGCCAAAAGTATTTGGATATCATCACCAAATTTCTGAAACAGAACAAGTCTGGTAAGCTGTTCACTCATCCGAAACTCGCGCGCAAATTGTGAACAAAACTCCATTCAGGTTTCCTGGTTGGAGATTCAGTAACATGGGTAGATCTGCTTGTAGCTGAACATAGTTCCCTGATGGTTCACTTTGTTCCAGATTTTCTTGAAGGATATCCTGAGGTAACTATTTTTACAGTAAACGCAGATTTATCAATTCATTTCCAATTTTTTTAGGTGAAAGCTCACATGGAGAAAGTCCATGCTATTCCGAATATCAAGAAATGGATCGAAACACGACCAAAATCAGATTTTTAAATTGATTACATCAAACTTGACCTGATAACCATATCGTTCTACCTACCCGGTGATTTGTTGTTATGTTAATAAAACCATTCTGGAAGTATATCGTTTGGGAGGAGCACAAAGAATAGAACCGAAAATTCCCTTAATTTGAATGGATTTCCGTGCTGCGATTGCTGTTTTGATCTATTGAGAACTGCGGTGCCTAGAGATTAGTGTAGGGGTGGAGGAGTTAAGCAGATTTCAAGGAAACTTCAACTCAAAGCAGGTTGAGAATGACTCGATCCATTAGTTCCAACCAGGGCCCGGCAGGAGGTGGCATTTCAGAATTTTGAAAACGATATCCCCTTTGAAGCCAAAATTGCTTACGACTTCCCCTTTGACCCTATTTTTGGCCCCCGTAAGTCCCTGACAAACAGATATACACAAATAATAAGATGGGCGGCCTGAGCGCTTATTATAGAAGTACTACCTGGCTTTCCTTCACTTTTCGGAAAATTCCTCACCTTTTCGGAAGATTCCAAAATTCCCCATCAGCAAATGAATACATCTTATTAGTTTTATCATTAGCCGACAAGACAACTGTTACGAGATCATTGCATGCCGACCAGCTTGCATTGGTTGTTTACGCGAATCAATCGCGACGATCAAATCGCGTAAACTCTGTCGAGTAATAAGGGATCGTCCAGTCCAGAAACACATTGAAAATATAGGTCTCGCTGATCCACAAAAATATTGGAGGCAATAAAGGAAAACACACAAAGAAAAAATGGAAAAGTACAAATGTGATGTACAAAAACGAATGCAAAAATTCGATGTAATGTAACATATTTGCATAAATGCACCATTCCACCTACCTGAGATAGTCCGATTGAGCCTCAAATTGGTGAACTAAGTGCGAGGTGCTGTAGTCGAAAATTCTGACATGAATGTCATCTGAGCCGGTAACAATACAGTTTTGCGTGAAATGAACTTGGCAGCGCGCACTGGCAAATCACATATCTGAAGAATGCGCAAGATACTGGATTGAAACATAGTAAGCAACATAAGGCCCCAGCCAGGCTTCAGTTGAACAGCCCAAAACCGCTTAAGAACACCGAAGGCCCCTTTTCACGAGAGATGAGCTATCTTGACCGGAGTCTGGCAGGGGCCTAACATACAAAAATACATGAAAATTCAAAAAAAATAAACCTACTTTGAAAGACTTCAGAAGCAGCTGACCCTCGTAATTCCAAATCTGAACACTTCCACTGTAAAGAGCTGTCAATAGCCACGTTTCCGTGGGATGAATGTCCACCGATTTAACTCAACACGATCTTGTCAAAAACATTTCCTCAACTTTTGATGACAGCACGCCTACAACAACCAGAACAAAGGAAAACGAAGAAAACAAACGACCCAAAAGAGCGAAAGTACGGAGAAATCGACCATATTGCGAAAACTGAAGAAGCACAATTACAAAAACAACTTTTTGCATAGAATATCACGACGAAATATGATCTCTGGCCCTTCTGAGCCCTTGTAGGGCTTGTCGAAGAAGCAATCTGTTCAGAAATCGCGTGAAGATTGCTTCAATCAGCGATAACTAATTCAGAAAAAGTCAAATTCTCGAAGTTTCCGCGTCGTCCGTGCAAGGTGCACCGATCGCGATTGGAGCGCGCTTTCCGAGGCCGATCATAACGCCGTGAACCCTATTTGGGGCTGTATCTAAGCGGTGCCCTGGTGGTTTTGGAAGCGGATTTGAACATGTAGTGATACTCTCGACCTAGTCCACATTTATGTAAAGAAATCCGGGAAATTATGTGAAGGGAAGCAGGGAGCCACCCCAGGTGGCTCCCAGGTGGCGCGGGAGCCACCTAATTTCGAAAAACACTTACCATTTTTTTAATTCACATAAGTTTTTCATAATTTTTCATACTTTTTTTGTGCTCATGGTCCTCCAACTATACAGCAAATTTGGTGCCATATCGTTACTTGTGCATTGAAAACGAGCCTATTTTGTTATTTTCCTCTTACAAGAATTGCGATTTGAATTCCCGCCTGCGGGAAGGCTAGCGATCGGAGCACAGAATCTTCACATTGCTGGAATCTAAGTTCATAGGACAGTAGCATCAATAAGGAATGATGAATAAAGAATGATATGTGCATTGTTTATCGGTAAAACAAAGAAGAAGTCGTATTTTGGGATCCGGGGCTCCGCCCCGGACCCCATAATACGACTTCCCCTTTGCTTTTTCGGGCCAAAAACGATATCCAGCCTGTGAAAGCGCCACCCCCGCCGGGCCCTGGTTCCAACAGTTACTTCCCTGGGACTCTAACCTTTCGCAGAAACACTAGAAATCTTTCACAGTAAAACTAAATATGTTGCAGGGTGCCATGCTAGCAAGTGCTGTTATTCCTTCAATGATCCTCATTTTTGGTCCTATCCCGCCACTAAAATATTGGGAGACTATAAATTGGAGTCTCAGTCGCGATGACCGGATTTCGAAAAATGGTCCTCCTTCTTTGTTTTTTAAAGTTTTACACGCGTAACCACAAATCACATGGGCGCGCAGTATCCTCGTAAACTTTATTGAAAAAATACATGCAATCTATAACTGCAGGCGAACGATAGTTTAATCCACACTTTTCAGAATATTAATGGGTCACAAGAAGTAGGATAGGTACACTGATTGTAGATCCAGTGGTGTACGAGAATGGGTCAAAATTTTCAAAGTCACTTACATGGGTTATAAAAATGTGCAAGTGACTTGTGATAAAAATAATATTTAAAAATTTTTAAAAATTCGATCTAGCTTTGTGCAGAGCTTTATGAAGAGCTTTTTATCGGGGGCGTGATCATCGCCAAAAATGCTTGTCTCTCCCATAAGAAAACGCATGCAAAAGCGTCCTGCAAAGAAAAATTAGCTAGTTGTTGAAATTCTCTTGTGTATCGCATACGAATGGGATTACACATTCTTTTTTTTCGTCTCATGTTAGATGCAGAAAGGCGGTGCACCTGTGAGGCTCTTTTTTGAATTTAGCCGAAAATTTAACAACTGTGGTGAGAGAGGGGGGAGAGGAGAGGGGAGTTGTGCCAAATAGGGGGGGGGGGGGAGCTGTTAGATTAGTACTGGGTTTGCGCAAAAATATGTGCATATTTTACAAAGTTTTACTATGCGAGCTGCAACTTTGCTAGAAAATAAACTGATAAATTAGTTCACTTAAATTTTTATGGCTGGTGAAGCTTACCATATAGCCGCAGGCCAATAGCAGGTCAGTCAGAAGGGCTTGACGAAAGTAGTAGATCTAAAATTGAACTACCATTTTTTGGAGCCAGAGATTTCCATTTCTTTGCGTAATATCTGCTCCAAGACGAAGGCGGTCGCCCAAATAGGTTGAAAGCACGCAATGCTGCGGCGCGCGAGCAGTTATCAACCCTAGGGCGCGCCCACGCTCGGTCAGCGATCATCCACGCGAGCGTGCGCGCGACCCGTGGTTGACAACTGCCCGCGCGCCGCGTGCGCGGGCAGCCTTGCATACTCTCAACTTATTTGGGCGACCGCCTTCGTCATGGAGGAGATATTACTGAGCTATGTGTTTTTGAATACTCTTAAACTTACAAAAAATCAGCGTTTTCATGAGTGTTTTATTCACAAAAAATCGTATCCTAAAGTCACAGCGAATACTTACATTTTGAAAATAATTACTGTGCATCATGCACGCAAACAATTTAGAATGTAAGCTATCTTCTCGAATTGTTCATTATGAATTGAATTTCAAGAGTAAATGCAAAGAAAATTTGGTTTGGTGTTCTTTTTGAGTGTATTTTGCGAGAAGGCAGTGAGGAGATGAAGCTGTCTTTGAAAGGGCCCTAAAAATATGTATTTCTACAGCAACCTACATAAGGAACGGTAAACACGCAGGTCAATATTAGGTTGTCCCCAAAGTAAACACTTTTCAGACCAAATTTTTCTGTTATCCTAGCAGATTGGAATACCATTTGTAGAGCGAAGCATGCTATAAAAATGACCGCAAATAGCCCTTAAGTTGTAATGCAAGTGAATTTTGGAGTCAAAATTGACAGAAGAACTTGTCACCAAAAAATTGGATTTCTGCGAAAAGAATCTCAAAACTCCAAGTTGGTCGTCATATAAAAGATATACAGTAGTTTCCATAAATGCTGATTTTTTGGCGCATAAAATGAGAAATAAAGAAGGTGCAATATGGCAAACTCCCCCCCCCCCCCCAGCTCCCCTCACATGCGTGACTGTCAACTCAACCTTGATAAGGTATAGTCACGAAATTATATCTCTGTACGCGCTTTTATAGTCGCGAAATACCAAGCTTAACATAAAATACCTCAAAGTGATATTTTGGTATTTTGAGACTATTTTTCTTTCTTAATTTGAACCCCAAAAAATCCACCAAACAAATTTTTGGGTGCTAGTATGCGTTTACTGTATAATGACCAAGACATTTTCTGGAAGGAGATTTGATCTCGGTAGTTGAAAATTTTCGATTTTTGGCTACAAATTATAGAAATTACAAATTACAAATTATAACTCAATTGCGGCATAAGTGGATTGTGGCTAATATGTAGAGCTTGCTTTACTCCATCTAATAGTAACCCAATGCTGCCTAGAAAACAAAAATTTGATCTGTTCGGAAAAACGGTTTCCTTTTGGGACAACCTAATTAAACGACTTCCTTTGAGGTTCCGAGAATGTCGTATTGGTATTTGTGGAGAGTACCTCCAGCAATGCAAACAACTTAAACTGCAATTCATTGCACACTCGAGGTGCTTGGGTTGAGCCGATGGCATCAAATTTCGCCTTTTGCTTCTACAACCCAGTAAGCCGTTTGCGCTCACCATGCCATCACCACTCGGACGACCGATACGAGTTGGTGTATTCGAGCACGATCCCGATGCTTTCAACTGCTTCCGTCTTCTACCGAGAAGAAATTGCCCGAAGCCTGGAGCTGAGATCGAAATCATCAAGCTTGTGATGGAAATGCTCGATTGGGAATGGGAGATAGTGATTTCCTTTTTTGATCTGCATATGTTGCTGCTTTCCTTTCCAGGTTGATACCGAGCTAGAATTTGGTATTTTCAACG